CGCCAGGAACTCGGGGTGCGCTGGCAACTCGGGGTGCACTGGGAACGTCGGTGGTGGGGTGCGCGTGGCAGCCCCAGGCAGAAGCTGCGCTCTGATGAGCCGCAAGCGAAATGTGATAGAAACGCAGAGCGGGAAGCGATTCGGCCTGAGAGAGGCGGGCGCGTCCGCCCTGGGCCGGGGTGCGGGCCGTTCCTGGGGACAGACGCCCGGCCGCGTGCCCGAGCTGGGGCGCCCCGCCCCATGGAGCCCTCGCGAGAATGGCGGGGCGGGGAGTTGCCGTGGGTGCGGAAGGTGGGCGTCCTGGAGGCCGTGGAGTGAGTGGCTCCACGTAGCGACTTCAGCGGGTCAGGGCGGCGCCTGCCCGCGTCCGGAAAGGCAAGAGCGGGGCCCTCCCACTCCCCGCCCCGCCTGTCCAGGTGCTGAAGTGAGAAGCCACCGTCTCCCGACTTCAGCATACCCGGCTGCTGGCCAGTCTCTGGGACACCCCCTCCCCGTGCCCCACTCGGCCCCTCGCCTGGTTCGTGCCCTGGGCTTGGACGCCGCCACCTCTCTGCCAGCTCAGGCTCCTCAGTCCTAACTAGGCCTCAGGGGCCTTCTCAACGCGAAGCCCGGGCTGCAGCCGCCCGGCACGCCTGTTTGCTCCCACGGACGGTACGCTGGACAGGCTCGAGCCTCTCCCCACCGGACGGTACGCTGGACAGGCTCCATCTGTGTTTGGGGCTAGATTCTTGGTCCAAGAATGAGGAAACTGCTGGGCCGAGGCCTGGCTCACCAGGGTCTCCTGGCCTGGCACTGTGGCCTTGAGGGTCCCCCGCTCCCCACGAGGGCTTCCCGAGTGTTGGTTTGCCAGAGCGAGGGCGGGAAAGGGGGACAGGATCAGTGGGGGACAGGAACCGGGCCCCGTGACACCCCCACCCCTGCAGGCTGCCAGCAGCTCCCCACCTGCTCCTGATGCGGTGGCAGGCAGGGCAGCGCCCGCCGGCTGAGTTCCCAGCCCAACTCCCCCCACCTCCGCCCTCCAGGCCCCTCCCCGCGCTGCTCCCAGATGGCTCCGATTAAAGGGCTTTGTTTTGTTTCCATTTTCCCAAAATAAAGCCTGTCGTCTTGAACTCATTCTGCTTGGTCAGTCGGTGCCGGATGTGGGCCGCTCGGCTGGTGACAGCCCTGGTGTCACCCTGACGGGCTTTCAGTCCCAGCTGGTCGGAGAGGGCCCAGCTTGGTGTTCCTGGTGCCGGCTTGGCGGCCTCTGCCGACTCCGTGGACCAGCACCCTCCTCCTGGACAGCCCCTTCGCTCCAGGCACCCTCAGAGCCCTGAGCAGAGGGTAGCAGGTTCAGAGGGCAGCAGGGGGCCTTGGGGGAACAGGAGCTGGCAGTTCAGTGGACACTGCTGTTTCCTGTGTGATGTTGGGGGAGACCCCTCCTGCGCCTGACTCTCGTGTTCTTTGTAAAGCAAACAGTGGGCGTGTAAAGCTTCGCAAGACCTAGTAGGTGCTCAGTAAATGCTGGCTGTTGCCAAACAGCCTGACTCAGGGCTCGCCTTGTAGAGACACTGTGACAGCGTCCGCTGTGTAGTCAGGCCTCGTGTCTCAACTCACTGGCTTATGAATGACTCGAGGGTACGAGTCAGCTTCGTCTTCACGTGCTCATTCAGCTGGCATTTATTGAGCAACTACTGGGTGCCAGATTCTGTGCACGTTCTAAGGATTTGCAGGAGAGATGGTCAGGTCTTTGCAGAACAGGACAGAGGAGGCTCAGGAGGCTTGGGGCCCCCCATACGGCACCCAGACCCGGGTCCCCAGGGATGAGTAGTTACCAGCCAGGGAAGGTGGAGGGAGGAACGTTCCATGTTGCACTGAGGCTGAGCGTGTGTTCCATCCACTCGGCCACCCAAGAGAGGAGAGCAAGGAACAGCATCCCAACCAGAGGGAACAGCGCATCGGGTGGCTGGGAGGTGAGGGAGCTGTGTGTCCCCAAGCAGAATTGCCTGCATTTAAAAGTTGTAGGTGATGTTTTGGTTCAGCTTTTCTGATGGGGACGCACGATCCCCCAAGCCACACTGGCCCCTCGAGCTTCCAAGGGCCGGGGCTGAGGATGCAGGCTTAATCCTTGTTGCTGTCTGGGAGATGTGGGGCTGGGTTCCTTCCCTAGCCTTCAGCTTGCCTTTGGCAGAGACCTTTTCATCACAGAGCAAGGATTAAGTTGCTTTCTTAGACCTTCTAATTAACTCTTGTAACAAAAAGTCCCTGCCGCGTCTCTCTGATGTTCCCGTGTCTTCTCTCACCTCCTGCCTTGGCAAGGAAGAGGAAAAGCCGCGATGTCTCCTAGCGCGTGATGTTGCTCGTTTGCACGAAATCCCAGTGACAGCCTTTTTTCCGATCATGCTTCTAGCTGCCAGCTACCTTTTAAGTGGCTCCAAGCTCCCCCCCGCGAGGTGTCTGGCTGCTAGATGTTTGTGGAGTCTGGGCCGGCAGACCCGCCCGCCACGGCCTCCACACAGCCTCCTTCCGTGAATGCGCATCTGGAGATGTCCCTGCGCGCTTCCGAGCCCTGGCGCCTGTGCAGCACTGGGCCGCCCCCGGGCCGCCCCCAGCCCCGATCCCATTTGCCACACAAGCTTTCTTTTAAGAGACTTGGCATTACAGTGCCAAGCTGTGCTGCAGCGTAACTTTGAAAAACATCTTAAAACAGAACATGGCAAGGCGCTTGCTTTTTAATTTTTTTAAAGAGAAATCTGTTTTCTTCAGTTTTTAAATTAGAACAGGCTTTATGAGAGAAGATTGGGAAAATATAGAACCATCGAAAGGAGAAGGAAAGCCGCTCCCAGCCCTCGCCCTGGGACAACCCTGCTCGTCCCTTGCTGTGTCTTCGGAGATGTTTCAGTCTAATCCAGTCCTGCCTGTACCATCTCGAGTCTTTTGTTTTCATTCAGCCCTTGCTCTGGAGCCTCCCTGGGTGTTACAGATGGATTGTCAGCTATTTGAATGGCTTTGATCATCATGTGAATTTATGTCCCGAGTTTGTTGAACTTTTTTTTCCCCATTGTAAAAAAATGCCTTGATGAATGTTTTCATGCATTTCGGTTCCTTTTCTTGTTTGAATTCCCAGAAGGGGGAAGCTTTTACCAAAAGCCAGGAATATTTTTATGACTCTCCATCCATGTCGCCAAACTGCCCTCCCAAAGGGCCCGCGTATTTCTTTCCCCAGACTTTCCTTTATTGTGGTATAAAACACATGCAACATAAAATTAACCATGCTGACCATTGTTGAGTATACAGTTGGCCGTTAATAAGTATATTTCATGTCTTTGTGCACCATCCCTACTTCCCATGCACAGAGATTTTGCATCCTCCCACATGCAACTTGTCCCCGTTAACCACTAACTGCCCCCTCCACTCCCAGCCTCCCCTTGCAGTACCTCCGTGAATGTGGCTATCCTAGATGCCTACGTAACTGGAACCATAGAGTATTTGCCTTTTTGTGACTGACTTACGCATTTAACACGGTGTCTTTCAGGCGCATCCATAAGGTAGTGCGTGCCAGAATTTCTTTCCTTTTTTAAGGCTGAGTACTATTCCACCATGATGTGTATTCATCCTCTGATGGACACTTGGGTGGCTTCCATCTTGTGGCTCTTGTAAACTGTCCTTCTGTGAACATGAGTGTGCAAATCTCTCCTCAATACCATGCTTTCGGGTCTGTACCAGAAGAGGAATGGATCATGTGTTCATTCTACCTTTTTGTTTTCTCAGCAGTGGCTAAATTAGTTTCCAAAGCGCATGCTCCATTTTGTACTCCGGCCAACAGATGCACAAGGGTTGACTTCACTGCATCCTCACCAACCCTGGTTATTGTCTGTTTATAAAAATAGTCATCCCGATGGGTGTCGGGTTGGAGATTTGACAGATTTGTAAGAGCTTTATGGAAGTATAATTTACCATTTATTTTAGCTACTGAAAGTGTGCAATTCAGTGTCTTTTTGAATATTTATGGAGTTGTACGCCCATCACCACAGTCCATTTTTGACGACTTTTCTCACCTCTATAAGAACCCCTGCCCCCATTAGCAATGATCTGGTCTCCACTCCCACTCCTCCCCCTGAAAACACTAATCCACTTTGTGTCTATAAATAGGACGATTCCGAACACTTCATAGAAATCAAATCATACAATATGTGGTCTTTCACGATTAGTTTCTTTCATGTATCATAACGTCTTCAAGCTTCACCCATGTGGTAGCGTCTGTCAGTACACTGTTCCTTTTTAATCGCCACATAATACTCCACTGTACAGTCTGCACTGTACATTCATCCACTGACAGATATTAGAGTCATTTCCACTCGTCTCTCCTGGATCTCCCCCAAGGAGTACAATTGTGGGGTCCCGTCGTTCCTCTGTTCAGCCTGTTGAGGCCCTGCCCGCCCATTTCCCAGAGCAGCTGAACACTGTAACTCCCACCCCCTGCTGTTTCCTGTCTTTTTCTTATCTCTGTCTCTGGACAGGCAGCTCTGTCTCCTGTGGCCTGGTTTACATCTCCCTGGTGGCTGTGATGCCGTGCCGCCTGCCATCTGTCTCCTTTGGAATAGCATCTACTCAGATCTTTTGCCCGTTTTGAAACTGGGCTATTTGTCTTTTTATTGTTGGGTTGTAAGATTCTGTCTGGTCTAGATACAAGTCCCTTATCAGATATCTAGTTCGCAGATATTTTCTCCCATTTGGTGGTTAACTTTCCACTTTCTCAGTGCTGTCTTTGAAAGCACAGAGATGGGTGAGTGCCCCAAGCTGGGAGGCCCCCCATCTCAGCAGCATGGGAGAGGAGAACCGGGCTTCCAAGCTGACAGGAATGACCAGTGTCCCCAGATGTAAGGCAAAGCAGGGTCCCCTGGCCCTGGTCGCTGGGGGGTGTTAGCAAGGTGGCTTTGGGGGGCGGGGGCGGGGAGGCAGGGTTAAGTTGGAAGATGAAGCCCGCAGGTAAAGCTACTCTTGAGAAATTTGCATCAGAAAAGATGTTAGGTAGAAGCCAGAGAAATACAAAGACCCAAGGAAGTTGTGCTAGGATTTAGGGGTGTAGGAGGCCCCAGACCCAGGGGGAATGGCTTCACTGGGAGGGCATGAGGCTCTGGGGAGGGTTAGCTTTGTCCGCAGAAGAAAGGGCTTTCTAACGGTGGAGTGCAGCGCAGTGAGCACCTCCCACTGCTGGGGACCCTGGCGCACAGAGCGAGGGCGCAGCAGGTCCTGTGCCGGCGGCACGTCCCGCTTGGGGGTCTCCGGGCCGGCAGGCGCAGGCCAGCGTTGCGCCCGGGCCGCAGCACGTCCGACGGCCCCGTCCATACACCCAAGAGCGGACGAGCCCGCAGCACGGGGATCGGAGCCCCTTCCTCCTGGAAAGCGCGCGTATGTCTTCTGCTGCAGGGAAAGCCTACGAGATCACCTACGTGCGGCTGAAGTTCCACACCAGCCGGCCCGAGAGCTTCGCCATCTACAGGCGCAGCCGCGAGGGCGGCCCGTGGCAGCCATACCAGTTCTACAGCGCCTCCTGCTGGAAGACCTACGGCCGGCCCGAGGGCCAGTACCTGCGGCCCGGCGAGGACGAGCGTGTGGCCTTCTGCACCTCGGAGTTCAGCGACATCTCCCCGCTGAGCGGGGGCAACGTGGCCTTCTCCACCCTGGAGGGCCGGCCCAGCGCCTACAACTTCGAGGGGAGCCCGGTGCTTCAGGTCACAGGGGAGCAGGGCTGGGGCGGCCGGCTGCGGGCGGGCCGGGCAGGGGCTGCACAAGGGACAAGTGTAGGGTTGCAGGGGCTCCCCTGGCCACGTGTGGGCCAGCCTCAGGGAGCCTCAGGGAGCCAGCCGGCGCGCGGAGGGGCTCACTCCTGTCCAGAGAAGGGTCCCGGCAGCCGCCCACCCCCACCTCGCAGCAGGGAGAGCAGCGCCAGTGGCCAGCTCCTCCCCAGTGCGGTCCCAAGGGTCCACTCAGCTTTCTGACCATCATGGTCTCGCAACCACGCATGTCCACGTGCCAGAGCGGCAGTGACCACTGGCCTGTAGGCTGGGTCGCCTGCCTACCCTGCCTGGACGCTGTGCAGCCTGCTGTCCACTTCGCTGGGTGCAGACGGGCTTCTGCTGAGTGGACCGGCGTCTCCCTCCCACCCCTTTCCAGGCATCTCCCTGGGCTGTCTAGGACAAGGAGCAGCCAGCCTTGGAGACCCGTTTGTTCCCGGGGGTGGGGGGCGGGGGGGCATGTTGTCCGAGAGCAATGTGTCCAGCGCTGCCCAAAACGGTGAGACTTGTAGTGTGGCTGGTTTGGGGTCCCTGAGGCCACCCACAGGTCCGGCAGTGCGCGAGGAAGACTCTGAACCCAGCAAAGCGCCACGTGGCGGTTACAGTCTAGGCAGGGAGAGGCCAGCGGGGCCCTCCGAGCGCGTGGGGCCTCACCCCTGTTGTGCAGGTTGGAATCACCTGGAATCGCCTCTCCAGACGCCCAGCCCTGCTCAGCCCATGAAAAGTGGTGGTGATTGTGCCGCTTCTCCGCGGGCGCCGGCCCTGCAGACGAGGCCGAGTCGCGGGGTCACGTGCAGACGCGGCCGAGTCGCGGGGTCACGTGCAGACGCAGGTGTCTGCCTGAGCTGACCCCTCGGCGGTGGGGTTTCCTGACTTGTCTGGACATTGCTCAAGGGCAGAGGACAAAGAGGTCTTGCACACCTCCCTGTCCCCCTCCGGAGACGCGCTTTCTCTGAGGGCGGGGCATTGGGGCTGGAGGGTTTGGTGTGCATGCAGCTGCTGGGTCTTGGGGCCCTCTGTCCCCCGGGAGGGGCGAGGACCTCTGGGGGAAGGCCGAGGGCTGCCATCCACACAGAACCCGGAGGAAGGGGCTCCTTAGAGGAGGCTTTTGGGGGCTGACCAGTGTCACTGTGAATGGTGCCCTCGTCGGGAGCCACGAGTGGGCTCCCCGTGGAGACAGGGTGAGCGCCCACGCCCCCCGAGGGCCACACGGCCGGGCCCGGGCCTGTGCGGTGGAGGCCTGTGCTGTGGGGGCCGTGACAGGCTGCCACGCCCCTTCTCTGCACACTGGGCCTGCGTTGGCCCTCACACGGCCGTGGAGGCGTCGGGATTGCCCTCCAAGAGGGGCTCAGAGAACAGATGGCTCCCCTGGCCCCCGTTCCCATCGGGGCTTACTGGACCCGTTCCTTCTGCCATTGTCCTTGCAGGCGGGAGCAGGCTGCAGGCTGCGAGAAGCACAGACTGGGCCGCGCCTGGCTGCCCTCTGGGCCCGCGGTGTGGCGAAGGATGCCAGGGAGGCGTGAGGGGTCCGGGCTAGGGGCCGGGGGCAGGTCGGCCCAACCCTGGCTCCGCCCTGCACCAGAGCCGTCTCCTCACCGTGCGCGGGGTGGGGATGGGGCCACCTGCCAGGTCACAGGGAGGGTGGGAGACAGACGGCTGGCGTCACCGACAGTGGGGTCAGCAGGCAGTGTTTTCTGGAGGAGGAATTGCAGGGTCTTGAGTTCTGATGTCCGAGGTCCCACCCTGAGCCTCAGCCCCTCGCCCCGCGGGGACCCCTGATGGCAGCACGGCCAGGGCACTTGCTGGGACTGCAGGGTCCCGGCCCCCGCGTTCACCCCAGACCCCCGAACACACGCTGACATCGGGCAGACGGCCCACAAACAGCTGAGGGCCCCCAGATTCTGGGCCCAGGGTCCCAGCTCCGGCGTCCGGCTGGCGAGAGGCCGAGCCCGGGGAGC